AGCTATTCAACATTTATAATGCTGGTAACTATACCTCAGTTTCTCTCCACACAGAGAGAGTCTGAAACAGCAGCAGCTGAAGGAACTCAACTTCAATCAGTGTCAAAGAGGTGAAATTCCAGTATAGTACCTTCCAGGATAGTACCAAAATAAAACTGGGCATCCAAAAGTACATTTTCAGCATCCGTATCTATAAAACCTGTAAGATTAGAATATCAGTATACAAAAAAAGAATTATTTTCTTTTGTAATGCAGCCAGACATTCAACATTGCTTATTCTCACAGACAATAAATAAACCTGGGTTTTAACTGCAAGTGAAAAAGGAGACAGAATAACCATATTTTGAACAACGTGGATAACAAAGTGTTACCACACCTGTTCATTTGGTAAACAGCGTGTATATATATACATATTGCATATTCTAAATGCTGTGCATGATTCCATGCCTTATTTTTTTGAGTGCTTGTACCAATTAAAAAAAAAAAAAAAAGGCACAAAAATCACCTTAGAATAATATTAGAAGACTCTACAGTTTATGTAAGAAGTCAGAAAACAAATTCCAGTCTGAGAATACGTAACATTTTCCCCCATATAGGACATACTAGGAGAAATTGCCACCTGGACTAATATATCAAACAATTCTAATAGCCCAAGCCATTATCCTGGAGGGGTCATCTTTGGAGATACAGCCACCAACTTTCAAATCACTTAATGTAAAAACATTTTCAAAAAATGTTAATTGATTAGTGGTTTTCAAAAACAATGATTCAACAAGGGACACCCATCAACCTAAGTTCTAGTTGGGGGGGGGACAATTCCAAATTGTTCTTAAAGAAGCATGGGACAAAAAGGCCAGTGGAACAATAAAGTTTTCTTCCTTCATCTTATTTTAGGAAATACTTAGGTTTCCCAGAGCAAGATAGTGTGTGGAGTATGAGACAGACAAAGCCTGGAAAATTCCAGCCCAAATGGTTAAAGCTGGTAGTCCGCAAGGGCTGAAAACAGAGCCTTCCATTTCAAAGTTACCCGACTCCCTTCAATATATATAATAATAATTTTAAAAAGCAATATAGTAACTTACACACTCTCAGGTATCTTCTCAGGCATAACAAAATTTTCCAGTCACAACTGCAACTTCACATGAACAACACTTGATTTCTAGTTGGTGGGGGGAAAAAAAGCAGAAGCATCTTTCAAATATACTGTTTTCATGCATATAATATTGGGGGTGGGGGGAGACCAAACAATTGAAACAACAAAAAAAACACTAACAGAATACATTGAGTTATTCCAATACCTTCTCAAGGTCTCCATGAGGCATTGGGCAGCTTTTCTTCACCAGTAATCCATTAATCTGGAATTGTGATCTTCCTTCACAACGTCATACTTCCCTTTTTTTCATCCCTTTTCATTTCACCAATTCCTTAGTCTAAAATTTCACCCACTACTCACAAGTCTGCATCCAATTTAAATAATTCAGGAACTACTACAAACTTTAGGTAGCTCTTCTAGATCACCTGCAGGCCAGTCAGACATGCACTTTCAGCAGCTGGGGGTGTACGTGTGCATTCGCAGTACAGGGCACCACACTGCACTTGTTCCAGACCAAAAAGATGTTACACGAGCTACTACAAAAGGAACGTCAACAGTTCATGTACAACCTTCTACCATCACGTATATCAATCCCTCTTTATGCTCCTGTTAGTGGTAGGAAACAGGTTACCATCCCCCTCCCATAATTCCTTTAAAACCAGAAAACTAAACCAGCAACTAAAGCAGGGAAAAAAGTACCAAGGGCCAATTCTATTTCTCACTGCCACAGCTCTAAATAAAGATTTAGTACATCTGGGTTACTATTACTTACTATGTAGTTCTTTGCAGTATGTAGCAGCCAAAGCCATACCCTGATTTCTGTGTGATAAATTTGAACTCTATATTAAATTAGGAAAAGGTGTAGTTCTGTTCTGTTTAGAAACATTTTTGAATGACTGCTAAGTTGCAGAATAAACATACAAAACTCCAATAATCTTGCCCTCAGACCTTTCGAAATTATTCCTAGCAGTGTTCTAAATATTAAACATTTAGTATATTTCATATTTAGTTTAGAAAGTTTTCATCCTTATTTGCTTTTCAGCATGCTAACCATTTTTCTTGTCTCTGTCATTGTCTTGATTCAAACTGCTGTCCTCTGTTCTCCAATACTCTACTTTTCAACCATTTTGAGACTTTCAGCACTGCTACTCTCATATTAACATGCACAGTTGAAGAAAAATACAGATTATGGAAGTCCACAAACTATCTTTAGATTACCCAAAATGCTTGTATTTTGTTAGAATACTATTTTTAACAGGCTTCCCTTATAAAGCAGAAATTAGAGCTAGGGGGGTGGTGTAGAAAAAAATGAGGGCTTTCTCAAATCTTTTACTTTAAACAAAATTGTATTATTTATGTGTCATTCCGAATTTCCAGCAATTACAAAATGTCTTCTATGTTAACAATAAGCAATGTATATATTTTTAATGAAAACCATTGAGGTTGTACAAATGTTTTAACTTCAGGAAATTTTTTAGGTTTTGCCTTGGAAGCTAAAGGTATGAAATAAGAGTCCTGATTTCTAAAACAGCACATTCAGATTATCTGACTCAAAGAGAAACTAACGGGGAAAAAAAACCAAGCTGTAAACATGCCAGTAAAGTTACATTATTCCTTTTCAAAATATCATCTCATAATGTTCCCTTAATAGGCTCTCAAAACTGTGACTGGATAATAGGAAGTGATGTCTTTAAAAAGATTTTGTGAATAATGGGTTTTATTAGTATTAAGTTAAATCAAACAGCCAGACGATACATATGTAACTTCTACTACACACAATATAAAGAATGTAAATCATAACCTCTGAAAAAAAAAAAAAAAAAAACCAAAAGAAAAGGTACTGAAAAAGCCAACACAGTGGTTATGGACTATTCCATCCCTGATTGACAACAGGCTGGGCTCTGTGTTTAGAGAACAGCTGTGGTTTGCTTTTTTTAAACTGAAATAGGGTGAAATACATAATCAAGTATTAAAAAGTCAGTGGAGTTACATGGACTCTATGAGAATAAACTCTAGAGTAGTTAGGAAAAAAAATTCACCTAGTAAAAGAGATTACAAGTGGGCTCAGGTTTGGATTATCAGTGGTGAGGGACAAGGGGAGCAATTACCCAGGAATTTGTAACATATCATTTAATAATACACCACTTTCATAACAGAAGTGTTTTACACTTGCACAATGTTAATAACTTTATTATACATGGAAGCCTGTAATAGGCTGATTACACAATAAGACTGCAAACAACCACTGGTACTTTCCTGACCGCAGAAAAGTACGTAAGACCGAAACATCACCAAGAGTACATAAAAAAACCATCAGCATAAACATCACCAAAATTACATTAAAAAACTAATCCAAAAATACATTTGCAAAAAGTGGTTTAGAGCAGTGCCACTGCCTTTCAGCAGCTTTGAATGGCCACCAGTACTTCTAGCAGGTTTCCGTGGCTCCACAGGCATTAATCAGGATTCACACATAATAAATAATGTACCACAAAATATACATAAAGTAAGGCAATAATTCCAAAGAAAAGTTCTGTTGATATTAACAAGCCACTCAAGTTCTGCTTTTGTAGTTACGTCATCACCAGAAGCCTTTGCTGGAATTGCAGCCTTAGGCCCTAAAAGCCTGCAGTGATGACCTGCTGCAAACCCCTGTGCCTGCAGAGCTCCAGCGACAGCACCGGGACGCTGCCGGGCACAGGGGTCCACGCCAGCTGACCCTGATGCAGGACACGGACCCCGTATGTACAGTTGGGAGTATATTATTTCTTACCATACATGGAAACCTCGACGTAATTCTGGAACGGGTGGGTGTTCACTGTTTGCCTGATGCCACGAGACATCAGAAAGCACATAACGATACACACTTTCTGGAATGTAAATCTTTTAAATGCTAGCTATTCAGTTGGGGCGAGAGGGTGAGTAGGGAAGAAGGGGAAGAACAGGTGTAAGCTAAGAGGGAGGGGAAACCCCAAGATCGAGTCCAGAGGAACTGGGAGCCCAACGAAAGAGAGGGAACCTTCGACACTAAAAGAACATGGAAAAGGGGAAGAGCACGAGATGGACTTTTCTGAACCATGTATAATAAATAATGTATCCCCAAAGGCCTGTCTGGGTTATGACTGTAGTTTCAAGCTGGGGTTCTAATGGCATAAACCAGACACAGGCGTTTTGTTCTCATGGTTTGTGTCAACAGAATCTGTTTACGGAATTACAGTCTTACACAGGAGTTCTGGGGACATTATTGTTTATTTTAAAGCTACCATTCTGGGCTCTTCAGACAGACCCAAGAATATTTGCTCCACCTGCCTGGAATGAGCATCACCTGGAAGAACAGGAGTACTTTCAAAAACTATGAGATTTAGGTAGCAAAATTCTTTCAGATCCACCCAAAGAGACAGCAATTGAAATGTCACTAAAATTGTAAGAGACAGCAATTTGAAATGTCACAGATCCCTTCCTCAAAAAGCTGAGATATATTTGTTGCTATCTGTAAATTGGAAGTTCCAATACACTAGTGGTGCATAGAATTCCCATGCTCCGTTACACTTTCCTGAGAGTAAAGCAATTAGAATAAACCTTAGTACTAGGAACAAAGTTAATTTTTTTGCATTTTAAACTTTTGGGCTATTCCCTGACAATCTATATAATGTAAATTTGATTGCTAAATATTGTCACTTTGAAAAAAAAACACTATTTTAATCTATTGATTTTTGATTAAAAACCATATTAAACAGATCTAAAAAAAAAAAATCACACTAACAAAATAAACTAAATATGAAAAGTTGCATTGAAAGGGCATGTTACATTATTCTCAATAGGACCGTGTAGAAACATTCCGATGGCAGTGTTGTCAAAGTAAAACAAAATTACATTAAGACCCCCACAGCCAGTCACAGTCGGGACCTTACCTGTAACTCTGGCTGGTTGGGGTTTTTACTCGTGTACTACATGGCTCACTTACATCAGACATCATATTTGTATACCCTGAGAAATCTGACACTGAAGTCCTTACTCTGTGGTCCACTTCTCCATTAGAGTTAGTGATAAAAGTCATTGGCACCCTGCTGCCCGACTTAAACTGAGAACCAAACGCTTGTGCAAAGTTCTCGATCTGGTAGGTTGCTCTAGGCTCTATATCCTTCTGAGGATCTATCTGGCTAGTTAAGTCCTGAGATGGGATTTGAAAGCTTGTTGATGATTCTAAGTTTTTCTGTTCCTTCTGGCCGCTCAGTTTCTGAGATGTCGACTGGTAGTTAGACGAAGTCTCTAAGTTTTTCTGGGGATCAATGAGATCATCCAGCTCTTGAGAAGGAGTCAACTGTTGATGCGTAGCCTCCAAAGCAGACAAATAAAAGCCTGGCTGAGACCCAAGCAACATCCCGAATGGAGGTTTTGGCAACGCAGTTGGCAACACTGAGGTAACGGATTGGCTGAAGCCACACTCGAGCGGTGATGTAGTGTATATCTGCTTGTCTTGAAACAGAGTGTGGTTATGGAGCGTTGAAGACAAGCTAACGAACTGGAAACTGGGTCCAAAAGCAAAACTGGTGCTGTTGGTTGTTCTTTCAAAGGCTTGTTGGAGGTATTTGGAGTATTCTTGCAACATGCTTGCCTTGTCATTTGAAACTGTCTGAGAGTTAGGGCTCAAGTTTTCTTCCTGAACCATCTCTGAATGTTCTCCTGAGGTGTGCAAGTCCACACGTTGTTCAGTTATACTGAAAGGATCTTCCTTCTGGCCTTCCGATTTGTGAGAGTACTGGTCCAAAAGGCTCTGTAAGACCTCATCAGGAATACCAGACTTGTCATGGCAAGACTTTATTTCGCTGTTTAAAGATGCTGAATCAATAAGAGATAATGAAGCTTCACTATCCATAACACTAACACCTGCAGACTGGATGACGGACTGCTGGGAAGTCATGTGTCCGACATTAATTGAAAAGGCACTGTTACTGCTTGCAGTTTGTAAGTATCTTCTTTTCTTTGAAAACTGCATGGCATCATCGTAATTGCTACTTATCTGACCTGGTTTACCACCTGCACTTTGGAGAAGGCCAATAGTTTCTACACCGGTATTGGCTACTAGGCCTAGAGAGCCACTCTGTTTCCCAGACAGTGTCTTTTGCCCCAAAATATCTGGCAGTGGTGATACAAAATTAAGGTAATTTTTGTCTGCCTGTTTTCTGCTTCCTTTTTTCAAGATCAGTTTTGGCACCTTTTTCTGAAGTTCTTCTACGCCTGTGCCAACTAGACCACCACTGGAAGACACAATAGGAATATCAACTGCATAATTTGGCATGGCCACATTACTCGTAACTTGAGACTCAGTTATTTTGCCGCTACACTTACTTCCTTTGCTTTCAGTGGATGTACTTTTCGATTTACTCTTTCTCCTTGAGGAACTTGTATTTCCCTGAGACAACGCAGCCAGGCTACCCATGCTACTTGATGACCCGGGCTCCATTCCAGCCCCTGCTTTACCTATGGCTTCACCACAAGTTCTCCTGTGCTTCAACAGTCTATCGGTCCTTGAAAAATACTGCTGACAAGTGTCACATTTGTATGGCTTTTCTCCGCTATGCGTCCTCTTGTGTCTTTCCATGTGGTACTTCTGGATGAACTTCATGCTGCACTGGTCACACCCGAAGGGCTTCTCCCTACTATGGATCTTCTCGTGTCTCTGCAGCAAGTACTTCTGAATGAAGCCCATGCTGCACTGGCTGCACTGGAAAGGCCTCTCCCCCGTGTGAATGAGCACGTGCCTGCGCAAGTGGTAGGAGCTCCTGAAGGCAGCGCTGCAGTGTTCGCAGACGTGAGGTTTCTGACTGGGGGACGCGACGGCACCTTCTGCGTCTCCCACCAGGGGGGGTTTGGATGAAGCGCTCGGCTTCCGCTTGGCTTTGATTCCCTGAGTTTCTGGCTTTGGCCTCTTTGCCTTCTTGACCTGGGCATCGTGCTTTGGCTCACCCGAGCTCCCAGGGGCGCCCTCGCCTCTGCCACTCAGTAAGAGGTCTCGGTGGGGATGCTGGTGCAGGTGGTGAAGAAGGGTGAGGTCCTGGATCACGCTCTGGCCGGTGCCTTCCC